CCTCAACAGCTGCCCATGAAATTGGAAAATAGTTGTTGTTCCCATCCCCTCCAAGTGCACATAATAATTGTCCACCATAAATTCATTTCAAATGACACCCATCCAATCCTATAATGGGCCTGCATCCTCCAACAAATCTTGTTCTGAGGGCGGCAAACCCAACATATAACCTCTGGAAAACTGGGGGCAATTCTAAGTTGGGCCTAAGCATGTCTTCATTGGGCCTATCCACCACTTCTTGTATTACTTGTTTGGATTATACAGCCTCACTGTTTCATAGTAATCATACACCTTTGCATATTGGACCCTTTGATCTCCTTCAATAACTTCTCTTGCTTTTTTTTTAGCCCTATACAATTGAGGCCTACTAACATCAACCATTAACTCCCTCTAAACTGTCTTCTGCATAGGCCCAACTTTGATGTTAGGGTCATTCCTTAACTTGTCCATATACTTGTGTGCCAAGTAAGTTGAGTTCACCAAGTGATTATTATATGACCTTCCACATGCATGCTTTGGCTGGAATGATTTTATTTGAAAAGTTCTCTCACCTTGCATGGGAGAAACATGCAATCTCCATCCACATTCATGTTTGCACACTACAGTAATCCTAGAGTTGTCATTCCTTATGTACTTGATGTCATAACCATGTTGGATATTCCACTCTTTCATTACCTTTCTAAAAATTTGAGGGGTGGCAAACTTCATTCCAAGTTTCAATTGTGGCTTCTTCATGTCTACTTCTTTAATGAACTCAGGATATTTATCTTCACATTCCTTATCTGATGAGTTATATACACTATGTAGATCTTCATCCTCAGAATTAGAATACCACCCTTCATCTGCCTCTTGATCACATGAAGGAGGTTGCCTCTTTCTTTTCCTTGCAGTCTCTCTTGGTGAGAAAATATCATCATCTTCTGGCCCCTCTAAACCCTCATTCAACCAGCCATGTTCATCACTTTCATAGTCTTCATCTTCTGAACCACTATCAACATTCCCATCATCCATGTAATCAGGATCATCACTATCTTCTTCATCCCAAGCTCTATTATCCATTTTCTCATCTCTGGCATCTTCATCTGCTGCTCCGTCATCCTATCTTCATTATGCATTTCCTCATCACCTACATCTTGCATTCCATCTCTACAATCCATCTCTTCTTCACTTATATTTTCCATGTCATTCCAAGTCAGTGCCTGCTTAGCACTAACTGGTACTCTTGGGGGTACCAAATGTTTCCCTTTTGGACTCACCACTTGTAATGGGTCCTGTCCCTTCTCCACATATAATTGAATCACATCTAAACCTTCATACCCACATATCATGGTATATACATCAACATCTTCTTCAATTATTGTCAACCTATCATCCAAACTTTTTCCAGATTTCCTATACCACAAAACAGAAGTACTATAGACATCTATTTTCATCTCCCTCAATATGGTATGTATCTCAATAAAAGATAGTTTGTCAGGATCAATATCATATATATATTCCACTTTCCCTTGTTTATAAGCAATATCAGGAGGCTTACTGAAGTGCCCATTATAGTTGATCTCAAAAATCATTGTTTTTTACCTCACTGCAGAAAACAACAAAACTTCACAATATTACATTACAAAAACTCAAATTCATTGGAACCACATAACAACAATCATAAAAAAATCCAAAGTTAACATCATAAAAAAATACCTGTTGTTTATGAACCTTTATACCCCACTTCACTTTAACCAACATCCCCAAAAAAATAAAGTAATTAAAGGCATGAATACTAAAGTATACAAAAACAAATCTGTGAATAAAAAATACTCAAAGTTAACATCATGAAAAATATTCCCCATTACTTACTTATGAAGCTCTATACCCCCCCTCCCGCGCTCCACTTTAACCACAATCCCCAAAAATTAAAGCAATACAAGCATACCATGCCTAAAACATTACAAATTTTGTAAATCAAAGTCAACACACACTCAGTTATGAATCAAAATTAGGGAAAATCAGCATCTAAGGATCAAAATAAATTAGTGTAAACAACACATACCTAATCTAGTAATGGTGTTCGCGATATGATGGTAAAATTGATGATGAAACCCTAGTTCAATCCAATCAACCACACCGAGAGAGAAGATAGAGAGAGAGAGCAGATATAGATGCGAATACTAGTGTTAGTCAAATGAAACGAAACGACTGAGAGATGTAAAATATCTAGGGGCATTCTTGACTTTTTACAACTTCTGTTACGTTCGTTGGATTTTGCACTATGGTATGAAATATAGAGGGTTTAAGTGTTACAAATGAAACTATAGGGGGGCTCCGTGTTTTTGAGGCAAACCACAGGGGGTTAAATTATAATTTACCCTAAATTTTAAAATAGTTTATATAAATTTTTATAATTTTACCCCACTAAAATTTATATAATCTTTTTTCTCCCAATAAAATATAATTCCCCTAAATTTAATTTATAATTCACTAATTAGCACAATTAAGAAATAAGAAACTCTCCCCATCTAAAAAAAAGAAAAGAAACTCTATTCATATAGAAAAAAAATGTATAAAATATCGCAAAATGATATAATAATGAGAAAATTATTGAAAAGTTCAAGATAAGCAGGGTATAAGGTATTCACCTAAAAAATTTCACCCAAAAAACTAAGGGTATAAGGTATTAGGCACAGTGAATAGTTTTTATTAGTGCGAGGTCCACCTTTGTGAAATAGTTTGGGGAAAAATTATTTTTTTAAGGACATTTTTGTTTATAATTTTACCCCTTAATTTATCTATTGACTTTTTCTGATCTGTTGACTTTTCGTTGACTATATGTTCAAATTCATATCTATGTGTTCAAAAATTTTTTTTTCTATTTCTTCAAATTTTTAACTATCTATTCAAATTTTTTCTATTTGTTTAAATTTTTTTGACTATCTGTCCAAATTTTATTATTTGTTTAATTTTTTTCTCCTGAATTAATTGTATCTGTTAATTTTTAATTTTTTTTTCTATCTATTGAAATACCAAGCAAAACCAAATTCTATATGTTGAAATAGATAGCCAAACCAACCCTTATCTATTGAAATTTCCTTCTACCAACACTCAAATGAAATAGATAGCCAAACCAACCCTTATCTGTTGAAATGTCCCACCATCAACACTCAAATATATTTCAATACATAAACATATATTTTTTCAATTTTTATTTTATTTTTATTTGTTCATCCACCACTATAATAACATCAACAATCAAAAGAGAGGAGAAAACTAAGAAGCAATCGGAGCTCCACCGCACGCGCCACATTGTTGGGTTATCCTCTCGCAGATTTGGTGCTCACTCTCTCTCTCTCTTTGATTCCAGTTGCAGATTTGGTCTAAAGATCCTGGAAAATCAATTATTTAGTGATGTTATATGCAAACATATGTATGAATATAGGTATGCATTTCTAAATGTAGATCACAAAACAAACAACAAATGAAATTAGTCCTACATTAATTCACCAAAAAAGGTTGAATACATACATGAAGTCAATGAACTACTATATAAAAAAAATTGAGAGAACATAGCAATAACTTATCAACTCATCAATAGATCAATTTAAGAACATAACAACATTATTAAAATGAAAAATCACACACACACACACACAAAGTGAATCTCTCATCAAGACCGCTTCCCACTTTGCTCTACATGCCTCTTGCTTTTGCAAACCCTAGAACTTCTTACTATTTTCATCGCCTTTCAATTCCTAGAGAGCGCGTGTGTTTACAGATCGAAAAATGACAAAAACAGAGACATTTGCTTTCCAAGCTAAGATCAACTAGTTGTTGAGTCTCATCATCAACACGTTTTACAGCAACAAGGAGATCTTTTTCCGTGAACTTATCAACACTTCTTTTGATATAAGTCTCTCTCTCTCTCTCTCTCTCTTTAATGTTGATCATTATTATTGATTTTGCGATTGATCTGGAAAATCGAAGAATTGTGTTTGAATATGAAAAATCTAAAAAATTGAATAACTATTTCGTGACTTGAAAAATCTGGAAAACACATTTAGATTGAAGAACAGTAATCGAATCTAGAAAATCAAACTAGAGAGAGAAAGAGATAGAGATAGAGATAGAGATAGAGAGAGATTAGGATGTGTGGCTGCTTTAGATCTGTGGTCTCCATCGCTTCAGATCTCTAAGCTTGTTAACTTTGAATCAAATGATCGGCCAAGACCAATCTAGGTTATGATCTACGGTGGCAGATTTGAAGTTGTCGTTGCTATAGTAAATAGGCGATGGTGCACCGTCGTCGATGGTGGCAGATGAAAAGTGATTGAAGTAGATGATGAGTCGTTGACGAGAAGGTCAAAGTCGTAGTATCATCATTGAAGGATCGCAATGTCGCTTCAATCGGTCTGTGATGAGAAGAGGAGAAGAGAGATAGAGGGTGACGATAGTGGTAGTTATGGTAGCGGAGGACGATGCGATAACATTAGCGCCATCGCAAGAGACAGATGAGAGTGAGAGAGAGAGAGAGCGTGCGTGTGTGTGTGTGTGTGTGTGAGACTGTTAGGTTTGGGATATATATACAAGGGTATTTTGATTATTTTGCTTGAGTTTGATCTTTTATTAAATAATTTCAACGCTTGGACTGTTCACCAAACAAAATTGGAATTTAGATTTATGGATGAAGTGTCCTAATATACTATTAAACTTATAAATAAAAATCATCTTCATAAATATTTTATTTTAAAATAGTTTAAAAAAAATGATATTTAGGCCAAGTTTGGCTAAATTAAAAAAGTGCACTTATTTAATCTTTTTATTTTTTTTGGGTCACATCAATCAACATCTCCTCTCTACTTTTTCTATACATAGTACAAGAAAAGTAAAAAAATACACTTATTTAGTCTTCCCAAACTTGGCCTTATATTATTACTTAAAAAAATGATTTTATATTTATATTACTACTTAAAAAAAATGGAACTTGGATACTTGGGTGAAAATAGACAAAGGCCTTTCCGAAGTACCAAAAAAAAAAAACAGAAAATAGACAAAGGCGGTCTCTACAGTCTACACACGCTTGATTTTTCCAGATATTTTCCGAGCGAATCTGAATTTACCAGGAAAACTGAAAAAGAAAAAGGGGGAAACGCAAAAAAGAATCGATTTTTGTGTAGCAATTTGTTTTGTAGAGAGAGGAGAAAAAAGAAGAGAGAAGCAACTTTGTTTTCCCTCTCCTCAAAATTCGCTCCGTTTTCCCAAACCCTAGCTTCTTCTGCCGCCGGCGAGACCAACCGGAGAGGACGAAACAAGAAACATCTCTTTAGGGTCGCCTATGATGACCCCTTACGACCAAAGATACTCCGATCCTCTCTCCTATCGCCAGCGTCGAAGGTACGCCAAATACTCCCATTCAGATCTGTTTTTTTGTTTTTTTTGTTTTTTCTCTCTTTTTTACACGTGTTTTGGTGTATATTCAATTGTGTCTGAACTCATATTATGATTCATGGGTGGTTAAATGGTTTATGTGTATGGGTTCTGTGCACAAACAATTGGGTCTGAACTTTTAATGTGATTCATGGGTGGTTAAATGGTTTATGTATATCTGAGTTCTGTGCATATACAACTGGGTCTCAACTCTTTTTTGTGATTCATTGTTGTTTAATGGTTTATGTATATGGGTTCTGTGCATATACAATTGGGTCTGAACTTTTAATGTGATTCATGGGTGGTTAAATGGTTTATGTATATACAATTGGGTCTGTATTTTTTTTTTTTTGTGATTCAAGGGTGGTTTTAAGTTTATGTATATGGTTTGTGTGCATATTCAATTGGGTCTGAACTTATAATGTGATTAATGGGCGGTAATATGGGTTCTGTGTATATGGGTTCTGTGTATATAGAATTGGGTCTGATTTTTTTTTTTTTTATATGATTTATGTGTAGTTTAATTTAATGGTGTGTTATGTATATGGTTTTGCAGTGACCTAATGGGCCCGCCGCCTCCGGTGGTGCCGCCAATGATAGGCAGTGGACCGGCCTCGTATGGACGCGGTGGTCCTGTTTCATATGGTGGCCCTCCGGTGCCTTACGGTGGTGGTGGAACTGGGTCCGTTGGTGGTGTTTCGGGTTCTGTACCTGGTGGTGGTTTTAACGGGTACCCGCCTTTTCAGCCTGATGTTGGAAGAGGGTTTAACATTGGTAGAGGAGGTGGCAGTGGTGGTGGGGGAAGGGGCTTTAGTGACCGGGGAGGTGGAGGAAGGGGAGGTTCGGGTGGTAGAGGTGGTGGTGGAGATTTTGGTGGTAGAATGGCCAATGGTGGGTTGGGGGGTAGGCGAGGTGGTGGTGGTGGAACGGGCCGTGAGGGCGGGCGAGGTGGCAGTGGTGGGAGGGGATTTGATTCTAGCCGTGGTGGAGGTAGAGGTGGTGGTGGCTATGGGGGCAGTGGGACTTCGGAATTTGGTAGGAGTGGTGTTAAAAGTTTTGATGGAGGCAGGGGTGGTGGTAGGAGTTTTGGTAGTGGGCGTGGAAGGGGGTTTGATGGAGGCCGTGGCGGCGGCAGAGGTGGTGGTAGACATGGTGGAGGATCAAGAGGGGACTTGGACAATATTACTCTCCCAAAACAAGATTTTGGCAACATAGTCCCATTTGAGAAGAATTTTTACATTGAGAGTCCTTCAGTGAGAGCCATGTCTGAACAAGATGTTATGCTTTACCGAGCAAGACGTGATATCACTGTTGAAGGCCTCGATGTCCCAAAGCCAATTCGGATTTTTGAGGAGGCAAATTTTCCTGGTATTACTTTCACCACATGGTAGTAGATTTTAGCATCACTTTTGAATCTGTATGTAATAGATTAGCTGATTGATGTTGTATACTTTTATAGATTATTGCCTTGAGGTTATAGCTAGATTGGGTTTTGTCGAGCCAACGCCGATTCAATCTCAAGGATGGCCAATGGCCTTAAAGGGAAGAGATTTAATTGGCATTGCTGAGACAGGTTCTGGAAAGACATTGGCGTATTTGATCCCTGCTTTGGTTCATGTTAGTGCACAGCCTCCATTGGGTCAGTATTTTTTTCATGGTTCTTTATATGGATTGCCACTTTTTTCTCATCCAGTTATTATTATTATTTATTTATAATTATACCATAAATTGTGAATAAATTTCAGTAAAAGGTGAAGGGCCCATTGTCCTGGTATTAGCGCCTACTAGAGAATTGGCTGTTCAGATTCAAGAAGAAACTGTAAAATTTGGATCTCGTGCAAATATTAGAACTACCTGTATCTATGGTGGTGCACCAAAAGGACCGCAGATTCGTGATCTTCAAAGAGGTTTTTGTACTATCCTCATTTGGACTGCTTTTTCAACTGTGTGCAAAATTGTGCACTTGTAGATTGGTGGACAGGAGTTAATTAGGTACTGCTTTGCCATGGCAGGTGTTGAAATTGTCATTGCAACACCCGGTCGACTGATAGATATGTTAGAAGCACAGCACACAAACTTGAAAAGAGTTACTTACCTTGTATTGGACGAGGCTGATCGAATGTTGGACATGGGTTTTGAGCCACAGATCAGGAAAATTGTTGCTCAGGTATGGTTATTTCCTCACCATATTTCACAGGTTGACTGTGCAAAGGATTCCGTTTTTGTTAGATTTCAAGAGGTTACATTACATCATTCATAATTTGTAAACTGTTTCCATTGATGAGTCTCAATTTTTGTTTTTGGCTTGTATAAGTGCCCTTGACGTTGTTTGTAATGACTTTATGCTGAATGTTGGTTTGTGTTTTTGAAAACATTAAAAAATGAAATAGAAGTGGGACATCCACAAACTCTTTGACGAAATCCTTTTAATAGTTCTTTCTTCCTACAATAATTTGGCCCTTGTGCGGCTGCTTATTGATACTAAACTCCTCTCATACCATGTACACCCTAGTGACTATATTGTCTTGCAGGAGGCTGCTCTTTCATGATGAATTTGACTTAAAATACCCCAGTTAACTTGCAGGTTAGCACAGAGGTTGATAGCAAGTGATCCCTAGTCTAGTTTGTTAATCTGTGGCATTTGTTGAAGTCATAAATACAATGCTAGATGATTGTACTCTTATTTGTCTTTTTGTCAATCAGAATGCAGTTACAATGGCAAACTATACAAGTTTTGTTGAGAAGTGAGGAGGAGAAATTGACCCCAAGGTTGGGTGAAGTTGCAGAAGGAAAGAAGATTTTGGGTTGGCTGAGTTGAGAAGGGAAGGATTAAATGGAAGCATAGAGTTTAGTTTTAGATAGAATGGTTGCTAGAGAGTTGGTTTGGAGGTGGAGTTGAAAGTGAGTCCAAAACATGAGAACATAGTTGGAAGTAAGAGTTGTTTCGCTCTGGTTAAGATAAGGAGACACTAGGTTCTTCGATAAGATTGCAGATGCTGTTTGAATGGAATGGCAAGTTGAAGGTGTAATTGGGTGAAGATCGAGGAGAAATAACCCAAACAATTTTGAAATGTAACTTGTAAACATTTTGGCCTTGTTTGGTTTGTGTTTTGAGATATTATTTCAAAAATAATTTTCTGGAGAGAGTTTAAAAATTTGAAAATTTGTTTTGATTGTATATTTTGAAAATAGTTTTAGAGTTTGGGATGATTTGATATTTTTTTGTAGTTGAATAGACGGGTGTGAGAGAAAAAGTGATTGAGAAGGAGAGAGGAGAGAGAAAAAATGATTGATTGATGTGTAGTAGAGAGAAAAGTGATTTTGGATTTTTTTTTCTTTTAAATTTTTAACCAAACATGTTTTTGAAATGTTTTCTCCAAAAACATGTTTTGAGAGAGAAACCAAACACGCCCTTTGAATCAAATAACTTTGGTGAGTCAACATTGGTAAGGGGTAGACTTTTTTTAGTTGGATCATTTTGAGAGGGATTGGCTGGAGAGAATTTTTTGGGAGGATTCTGTAATACAGGCACTGAGAGATCTTTGTGGATATGGAGCTCTAAGTTAGATGGCACTACTGTGGCTTGTTATCAAAATTGATTACTTCGGCCTTTAATGGAGTACCACCACAGCGCTCCTTAAAGATTGTAATGGATTATAAGCTGCAGTTACTGTGGCCTTTGATGGATACCACCAAGGTTTTAAAAAGCGGCCGCAACCGTTACGTAACGCCGTTACGTAACGGTTTTGGCGGTTACCGCCACCCGTTACGGCCGCTTTTGCAGTGTGATTGAGATTCACAAGTGTGTCGACCGTAGCGGCTGCCATAGCGGTCGTAACGGTGCCGTACTGGCCTGTTACGCACCGTTACGTAACGGTTTCAAACTGTTTCTTTCGAAAAAATACACAAAAAAAAGCTGAAAATAGGGGAAGAGGGATAGAGAAAAGAGGGAAGATAAAGAGAGAAAATGGAGGAGCAAGAGATAGAGAGAGAAGAGGAAAGATGAAGAACATGTTATTGATTTGTTGAAATTGTAAGACCTATGCTATTTTATTCAGCTGCTATCACTAAACCATTTTGTTTTTGTGTGTCTATCTATATATTGTTTGAAAATAATAATAATAATAAGTGTGGTCATTATCTATTTAGCTTGGTTAAAATATGTATATATATATATATATTTAGGCTCTTATTTATTCTCTTACTTTTGTCATTGTTTATCTTATATATAATAGTTAGTGATTGATATTTTGTATAATATAAAGTTATTAATTATTAAAATAAAATGTAAAAAACTCAATTTATAATGATTTAAAAATATGAAATATATTGGATCATACTTAAAAATTTACAAAAATTGATCAATATTTATTTTTAACCCAATAAATATGATCATGGAAAAAAAATATGCGTATCGGTAAGTTTTTTTCAAATTGTGCAAAAAATAAAAAAATTCACGGTTCCGGTTACCGCAACCGTTACACTACGGCCTTTACACCCCGTAATCGCAACCGCGTCACCGCCACCGTTACGGCGACCGCAACCGTTTTTCAGAACCTTGGATACCACAGTGCTCCTTACAGCGCTCTGGTACAAACTCCTAAAATAAAAAAAGCTGAGTAGCACTAAAAGCTGCACCAAACAACTCCATTTTAGCACTTATGTGCTTTCTTGGATGCAATTTGAAAATATTCTGGAAGTGTGGGTGAACAGGAGATGGGTTGTTTTTTCATGGAGTACATTTGTTCTAGGGTTGTCCTTATCTCTGTAGTCTTGATTGAGAACGTCAAAACTGCTGGTTTGAGGTTCCATGATATTGCAATTGCCAAGGAACATCTGATAGTTTCCCATTATTACTGAGGAATGAAATCCTTATTGATTTCTTGTCTTTCTTGCAATGTAGTTTACTCTCCTCCTTAGAGTCATGGTACTAAAAACTAGCTGTCTAATCTATTGTGTGATGGAGTTTCATTTGTTGCATTTTGAGACTATTTATGTTTTCATGTTGAATCCTGTTAAATATTAGAACTTCAGAGCTGAATATAATGTTGTTTTTATCCGTTACAGATCCGACCTGATAGACAGACTTTGTATTGGAGTGCCACGTGGCCAAAGGAGGTGGAAACTTTAGCCAGGCAGTTTTTACGCAATCCATATAAGGTTCCAAATTTTTGCTTTCTAAGTTCATATGACTTTTGTGGATAAGACTTTGTAATACAATGCCTTTTCATTGTTTTAATTGTTTTAATGGCATGAATGCATTGCCTTTTAAATTATTTTGATCTTTTTAGGTGATTATTGGTTCCCCATATCTCAAAGCAAATCAATCTATTAACCAAGTCGTCGAAGTTGTAACAGAGGTGGCGAAGTATAACAGGTGTGACTTTGTTTGACTGGTATAGCATAAAAACGCTTAAATTTTACCTCAGTGATTTTGATGTCTTAATATTTTTATCCCCACAGGCTGATCAGGCTGCTTAAAGAAGTGATGGATGGAAATCGAATACTAATTTTCATGGAGACAAAAAAAGGATGCGACCAAGTCACTCGACAGCTGAGAATGGATGGATGGCCCGCTTTGTCCATCCATGGTGATAAGAACCAGGCCGAAAGAGATTGGGTCCTGGCCGAGTTTAAAAGTGGCCGGAGTCTTATAATGACTGCCACTGACGTTGCTGCACGTGGTCTTGGTAGGATCAGTGTGTGTTAGGACTTAGGAGTTAATAAGTTTCTGTTCATTTAGGTCATGTTAAATTCTGAAGATAGGCGAGTCGGCCGGTTGCTGTCCACTTTCCTGAGAATATAATTTGTGGCTTGGGTGCGAAGAGGGCATAAATTGCAATTTTAAAATTATTTTGAGCATGGACCTACTCTAAGAAGCACGAACACGTGGACATGACAGTTTTCAAAAAATGCAAGACGCAACAAGTGGAGATACACGCAAAATATATAGTTTTATATATTTATTATATATTATATATATGAATATATCATTCAAAGATAATAAAAAAAATACAACAAAATACTAATTTTTGTAAATTTACATTTTTTTTAAAAATCTTTGTACCCTAGGTTATTTTGTTCATACTTATAAGTAGTTTCATGTGTATCCAAGTGATGGATATGTGTTTCCTCCAAGTGTCTAAAAAGTATACATGTCTTAAAAAAATTAAAAATAATAGGACACGTTTGGATGAGTGTCTGACATTGTTTGATGAGTGTCGGTGTCTGACATGGACACGACATTTATATGCCACATTCTTAGAAGTGTCCATAACTCATGAAATGATTACGAGTTGGGTTTAGAGGAAAGTTTTGGGGTCTGTTTGGTTTCATTTCAGAAAATTGTTCTCTATTCTTTAGAGGAAAGTTTTGGGGTCTGTTTGGTTTCATTTCTGTTTTGAAAACCATTGTCAATATTTTTTTAAAACAGCCCATTTCTTGTGTAGTTTTAAATTGGTTGAGTACTCAAAATATTGAATTCATAAAAATTTGAATATAGAAAAGTGAATATACCAAACACGCCCCAGTTTCTTGGATTGTGTTAGACTGATCCACAAGATGCCTCTGCTTGCTACTTATCTGGTTACAGCTCATGTTACATGGACACTGGGAGCACAGTTTTACAGACGTCGCCATGACTGTAGTCTCTAGATTTTGGTGAAAACACCCATTATACTATGAGGAAGATTGAGGGCTAGTCTTAATAGACTAGGTTCTTTTCTTGGTTACTCATCGGGAAATGGTAATAGATAGAGCTACTTTTATGGGTTTTATATCCGTCACTAAATTGCCAAAAATGGTATGGCTGCTCCTATGATTGTGTCTAGGTAACAGAGTTGGAAGTCATCTCTGCCCATCCACGGTTGTGGAGCTGGTTGTCGTGACAGCCCGGTTGACTCAAACAAGCTTATTCAATTGATTGGATATATGGATTTGGAAGTTGTCGTGGTGGAGCTGCTCCTTATCCCTGCAAGTTTTAAGGTGGGCACATTTCGATGATGAATGTGTTATCTTAATATTTGATCACTCTGATCCTATGGATGCAGGGATAAGGTTGCGTTGCATTTCCTCCATTTATTTTTGCAAATTATTTCTTTCTAACTGATGGGTGTTTTTATTTTTATTTTTATTTACTGATTGTAGATGTGAAAGACATAAAATGCGTGGTCAATTATGATTTTCCATCGAGTTTGGAGGATTATGTCCATAGGATTGGCCGAACTGGCCGTGCAGGAGCGAAGGGAATGGCTTTTACCTTTTTCACACATTCAAATGCTAAGTTTGCTAGAGATCTCATTAAGATCCTGCAAGAAGCCGGACAAATTGTACCGCCTACATTGGCTGCCTTGGCTCGTTCTGGTGGTTCAGGTTTTGGAGGTAATTGTTGTTAACTTCCATGAATTTTAGTTGTAGTTCTATTTGCACACCACCGTCTCTCTCAGTACGCACACTTGCCCAATTTTTTTTATTAGATTTATGTCCCTTAAGCAAATTTCCTTTTTGGACAAAATTCTAAAACCTAATCTCTCAGTACACACCACCAGCCACCACCATGAAGCCCATCTCTCCTCATCTGCCTGCTCCCCACCTCTGGCCGCAGTTACCAGCCACCACGATCGTAGCCTCAACAGCCCTCTAACCCAACTGCCCCACTGCAACCACCATCGCAGCCCCTACACCCTGCAACCCATCACCCTCATAACCCCCCCACCCCTGTGGCACACCACTGCTGCAGCCCCACCCCCTTGCGACCCCCAACACACACACACACACACACACACACACACACACACACACACACACACACAGGGGAATGGCTAAGGAGTGGATTGGGGAGGGGGCTGAGGAGTGACAGGGTGGGTGGGAAGCCGGTGGTGAAGTTAGGAATTAGGGTTTGAGATTGTGGAAGATGAGGGTATTTTGATATTATTTGAATATGAATGGTGAGAATTGAGAAAAAAATTAAAAAATTTAAATTGAGTGCCGTGTGTATTGTGTAAATGTATTTATTGAGATATTGTGTGTTGTGTGAATAGAATTACCCTTTTAGTGGTTGGTGGCATGGTTAGAATCTTGTGATTCATGATTCGGCTTGTGTGGTTGAATTTAACATTGAGTCAATTGTATGATTGAATCGTGATTTGGTACGATTTTATGATTTATTGCGATTCAATTCTTTTTGCATTATACATGAAACAGCATAATTTCTGCTAAATAAAAAAATTTCTATTGATTATATTGATGGAGCATATTGCTGCTGAAATGAATTTATTTTGGCAAAAGCTCTACCAAGCGTATCTTTCTTACCTTCAGGATGTATAGACTGTTCTTTTTGTATCTATTCTAGAAAGAGATGCATTATTATATATTAGATTAATTCAATAATAATGGTTGGTGGCATGTTAGTTTGATTGACTGATAATTTTGTACCATGTTCTCCTGTCAGGTTCTGGTGGCAACTTCCGCTCAAGAGGAAGAGGAGGTGATGGTGGCTTTGGCAACAGGTCTTTGATTTCAGGATCTAATGTTATTCCTCTCGGTTCCAAGAGGCCTTGGTAGTTTCTACATGGTCATCGGTGCCATAGGCCTTGTCGGATTTGGAAAAGCGGACTTATTCATTAGTTTTCACAGTACGATCATCTTATTGGAGGTGTTTTTTTTTTTTAATATATTAGGAATTGTGGTTATGTTAGGGACTTGTAATGTGTACACTGGATTCATGCGAAGCAGTTTTGTGACATGTAAGCATGGCCATTCTTCTCTACTGTTTTTGCATTGAACTTGTAGCATTGAAGTTGTGTTTTTCAAAACACACTTTCACAAAAAGCTGAAAACACTTTCGATTTGGGAAATTAGATCCAAACCAATTTTGTGAAAAACTCACATGAGATTGTGGTTTCTCCAGTAAGTACAGAGAACTTAATCGAAACAAGCTGGATGAAGCCGACCATTCTCTACTTGGAAAGAAGGGTTTCACAAAACTGGTGCAACGATACGGATGAGGAGCTCGATGCAGAGTGGTTCAGAAAAGATTTAGATTGTGTGGGTGTTTTCAATTATGTATGCACTCTTTTGTGCTTTTTATGAGCATACAGCTATGAAATGTTTGGATTACGTCCATAGGATTTGAACTTTCATGCCTATGCTGTGTCAGCGGGTTTCTTTTAGATTTGTCGACTCTGTAGGTTGTTATTTGCATAGAGCCCAACTGCGCTGCGCTCTTGGCATGCATACTGAAACCTTAAGTGTGTTTTTCCCGCGTTGAACCACCTTGTAAAACTAGACAGAAAAGTCAATTGAATTAATTAGCATAGCCTCGTCGCTTGAACTTAAGAGCTTTCTTTTGAACCCCAACGACTGTTAAGTTAGGATGGACACATAAATTGCCCGGTATCATTTTTTTTTTTATTTTTGTTTTTTTAGAAGCAAAAATAATGAAAAAAAAATAAAAAATAAAATTCACAAACATACATGGTTTCTATTTTGTGCAAAACTAACAATTTAAAATGATTTTTTAGAACTTTTTAGGAAGCAATTTTTGAAAAACACCACCACCTTATGGTGTTACTTACAAATATGAGGCAAATAAATCGAGGCTTTTTCATGTACTCTATTTCTACGAGAGAGTGAGTAGTGTTTCATGACTTTTTTCAAAATTTCAATGTATTTGTTTTTTCAATTTGAAAAGATCAAATTTAATTAAAATTTTAACTTTTATCAAAATAAAACAGAGGATCTGAGCTCCATGAAAATTCTGTTCTCCAATTATTTCATATATTTTCCTAAAAAAAAAAAAAAAAAAAAGTGCATGAAAAGAGTCTAGATCCTCTGGAGGTTGTTTGTAAAGTGATTATCAACAACCTAAAACTGCAGTATCTTTATCTTTCGCAAAATTTTTGCAAAGTGATCTAAAAATAATTATCAATAGTAGCAATGCAAAATACTGCATAATTTGTCAAAACATATCGATCTATTCGCTAATTGTGAATTAAATTTTAAAATTTATAATCCGTTTTCAAAACATTTCTGCACCTTTATAGTTAACATATATATATTAATTTATAATGAAATATCAATGTAAAAATGAGTGTGAGAGAGTTTTAAAATGTGAAATTTGTTATAAATGAGTAGTTATATATATGAAAAATATTATGCAAATGTTTGATAATTGTTTAAGAATATTCTTCAATCAACTTGCAAATCGATTTCGTCCCAAATTGCAATTTGATTATTTGTCAATCCGTCATTCACAGTGTGATTTGTAATTTTAATCTCAAATCATCCAAATTGCACCGCGCACTCTTAATCAATACTATTGTAGCCTCAACTTAGTATTATTGTATCCTTAACTATTGTAAAATTAAATCTCAGTCATACAAAAAATCACTTTACAAAAAATTACTCTAGAGAATCCGGACCAACATGAAAAGCCCTAATTTATTTGTTAAGTTGGATCAAGCCCAATTTGAGCTTTTTGGACGGACCCTAGCCCAATCGGACCAGTCCAAATCTCTCCCTACCCATCTATAAATATCCCCCAAACCCTAACCCTAACTCTCTCCCCAGAAACCCTAATCGCCGTAGTAGCGAATCAGAGAGAGAGAGAAGATGACGACCCGATTGAAGAAGCACAGGAAGAAGCGCGGCCACGTGAGCGCCGGGCACGGCCGCATCGGAAAACACAGAAAACATCCCGGTGGCCGCGGAAACGCCGGAGGAATGCACCATCACCGCATCCTCTTCGACAAGTACCATCCTGGTTACTTTGGCAAGGTCGGCATGAGGTACTTCCACAGGCTTCGCAACAAGTTCTATTGCCCCATCGTCAACATCGACAAGCTCTGGTCTCTCGTTCCTCAGGAAATCAAAGACAAAGCCACTCCCGAAAACGTTCCTTTGATCGATGTTACGCAGTTCGGCTACTTCAAGGTGTTAGGTAAGGGCGTGTTGCCTCAGACTCAGCCTCTGGTGGTCAAGGCCAAGATCGTGTCCAAGACTGCTGAGAAGAAGATTAAGGAGGCTGGTGGGGCTGTTGTTCTCACCGCTTAGGTTTGGTTTGGTTTTATTGCATCTTTAACATAGTTGATTTGTCGATTAGGGTTTTATGAATTTTTTTGGGATTTTATTATTGCGGGTTGTACTTTGAAGTATCGGAATTTTTGGAATACTTTTAATGTGAACTTATTTTTGGATCTGTTGGTTGAGGTTATTTTGATGGGAAAATGCTATAGATATATTTATGGTTTTGGTGATGTGTTTATTATAATTGCTCTATGTTGTGATGCGATTGTGGCTTAGGTTTGATTCTATCACTACATATTCTAGTTGATTTCTTGATTAGGGTTTTTGAATTTTGGTGTTTTGTGGTTGTATTGAACTTCAAAGTATTGGAGTATTGGGTTTTTTTGTTTGGAGTAGTTTGGAAGATGTTATCTTTTGGGTTTGTTAATATGATCTTGATTTATTTTATTTTGGAACTGTTGTTTGAGGCTATTTCGATGGGAAAATGCTCTATAGATATATTGTTTTCTGCTTTTGTATTGATTTTAGCTGCACCTATGTTACATGAACTCTTCTATTTTCCTGCCGCGTTTGATTGTCTGGATTGGATATAAGAGTTTGAGGAGTATATGTAATTCCTAATGATAAAGATGAGATACAATATGTTGTAAGGTATGAGATGGATTATATATAGTGTGGGGTCTTATATTATGTTTGGTTAAGATAAGATATAGGATCGGATAAGAGGAGAGTAATTATTTTTGACTCACTATATCTGGAGCAATCAAACACGTGCTGTAGGAAGACAAAAAAACATGTGGCACCCACCTCATATTATATCCAATCTTACCCTCACATCCGCTCCTTATATAATATGACATGGGTGTGGGATATGAATCCGACACTCCACTTAGATCTTCAACTTCTTACAATTGGTGATGAATAAGAGAAACTTAAAATTGCTAAAAAAGAAACATATAGTCTTAGACATAGATGAGAGAGAATTTTCTCTAAATTCAATTTAATTTCAAGACATTTCTACATAATTTATAACATTATATCAAAGAATATTATATAATTTCATGTTTTCTATTTATGCATTGATTTTAGCTGCATTATGTTGTTGTGATATGATTGTTTTTATGACAGTTTTGTGGTCTGCATTGTGGGTTGATGTATTTCGATCTAATTGTCATGTTTTTCGAAGTGCTTTTATCCATGGGAAATGTTGTATATATTTGTTTGTTTGTTTGTTGATTTGATTTGATTTGGTTATACTTTTGGTTTCTTGCTGACAGTTCATTTAGAATTTCTGAAAATTTATGTTGTGTCATTACGTAACTTTGTACATAATGTTAGATTGTCAGTCTGAGAATGGAAATATTTGACTAGTATGTGATATTTCTCATGAAATAGAGCTTTGTTGAAGTTTGGAGTTTGCAAATTACAGGGTGACCAGACTAGTTAAAAAAGCGTCACCATCGCAGAAATTCAGTAATGCGTGTTCATTTTAAAATTGTAATGTGATATCTCATACTTGGTCATGTTGCGGCTTGTAAGTTGTAATTTGGCAGGTAAGGTGAACTAGATTGACTATGACGATGTAATTGAGTGCACAATCATATGATTTTAGTTCTATATGGTTTTAGTTTCCATCTATGAGAGTGCCTCCGTGGTTGCTTTCTAGCATTTTTGCAGATGGGTGACAATAATTAGGGAAGTGATCATCGAGTTACCTGGAGGTGTTTTGCATGTTGGCAATAACAAAGATTCTGTATTAGCATTTGACATGAATGGAAGCATATTGTTCAATATATCCCTTGCAATCCCCGTTTAATCACAATCGAAGTCGAAGTCTGAGTTTGTGTTATTTTTAGGACGGTAGATGATTTTTGACGTGGGTAGACCCATAAAAGCCATAATCCACTATGAACAATCCAAGCCTACCACTTAGGGCTCAATACGTAACCCAACCGATGAGACCCAGCACAGTTGGAAGTCAACAGGACATGAAGGACCAATGATATTCAGACACGTAGCAGGTAAAGGGCAAGCCACATCAGCAGACAAAGATCTGCAAAGTTATTGTCATTGTACATTACCATTAATGCAGCCCCTCACAGCATTTATTAGGACAACACCTCTTCGCTGGGACAACACGTTCTCACCCTGAACAAGGTAAGCTACAACATAGACTTTTGGCCAAGGTGACAGGTCGGACGGGACAACGAAATGATTATCAAAGGATATAAGCAGACGTTGAAGACAAGAAGAAGGTTAAGCTTCTCTATCTCTAATCTATTTACATACTCTACTCTCTCTCTCTAACTTGCTCGTCGGAGGATTCATTGGGGACTCCTCGTTCCCCGTTGAACTCTTGTGCAGTTTCTTTGGTGGGCTTGGTCATTCGGACATTAGGCTTGAAGAACGTGGATCAGTCCAACCCGTCCTACCATCATAACTGTATCATCAGTTGGCGCCGTCTGTGGGAACGCTTTGCTCCTTGCTCCAGTTGTGTTCATTGTCGTCGGAGACCCTGTCCCAATAATCCTTTCTTGATACCCATCAAAGTGTATGGTCACGACTAGATCCATGGCTTCTTACCAAAATGCTGCCGACCATCAAGCCGACTCCCCCAATCCAAATAACCTACCACAGTATTTCATCGAGCTTACTAACAGCATAAACCGCATGGTTGAGCAAAATCAAGCCCTGATAAATGTTCTACTCCAAAGAAACCTTTCTATGCTTCCTTCACCACTTCCAGATATTCCACCTAATCAAGAACGAGCCCCGAGTCATACTATCCAGCAGCCCTATCCACCTAACGTGGAAGGCGTGTAACCTCCTCCTCCAAATATAAATCCACCACCTCCACCCCTGCACCCGTCGATCCTGGCACCAACCCCCGAAGGGGAGGCCAGTACCGTCCAGCCCCCGCTGCCTTCCGGCAGTGACCACATTCCCCTCTGGGATGCAGAGCTCCGAGCCATGAAGCTCTAACTTCAAGGGGTCATGCAGAACATCCAGCATAAATCCTCCACTACAGCAAGCTCACCCTTTATTGCTTCCATTCGGGACAAACCCCTACCCCCCAAGTTCAAGATGCCCTCCATTGACTCTTTTGACGGTACGACGGACCCAGTCGACCATCTAGAGACCTACAGAACCCTTATGATCCTCCATGCATTCCCTGACGAGATTATGTGTCGAGCTTTCCCCGTGACACTGAAAGGGTCAGTCCGACTGTGGTTTAGCCAATTACCAGCAGACTCCGTCTCCACTTTTCAGTACCTCAGTGACTCTTTCCTCAACCATTTTATTGGAGCCCAACGCCAGCGACGCCCGGCAACCCAACTCCTCAACATTCGACAGACCGAGGGGGAGTCGCTACGCAGTTTCGTTACCCGCTTCAACACCGAAGCCCTGCAAGTAGCGGAAAATGATGACAAGGTCATCCTCACTGCTTTCATGGCCGGTCTGTGGTCGTCTGACTTCCTGTTCTCCCTCTTTAAAAACCCTCTGACCTTCATGGCAGCCCTACTCTCCAAAGCCCAAAAATACATGAATGCTGAGGATTCCCTAGCCGCCCGGCAAGATCCAATAACCAAAAACCCGACCCCTAGAGAAAAGAGAAAAGACTCAGAACCCAGAAACACTCAGTATAATAGCCAAACACCGCACTATACCGACCGACCCCCCCAAGCTGACCGGTCGGCACCAGCCTGACCGCCCGGTCGGTTCGAGCGGTACACATCTCTTAATTTCCCCATGGAACAAGTCCTCAATCAGATCCAGCGGGACTACCCCCTCAAATGGCCCCAACCTTTACGAACCCCTTCCAATAGGAAAGACCAGTCCAAATATTGTCGTTTTCACCAGGACCATGGCCATAACACCAATGAATGTGTTAACCTCAAAGACCAGGTCGAGACCCTAATACGTCAGGGGCGCCTTAGTCGGTTCACTGACACCCGCCCTCAGCAGAGGCAAAGAACTGAGCCCCTCAGAAACAACCGCCGGCGCACCCCTCCCCGGCAGCTAGCCCAACCTAACCAAGGCCATGATCGCCCTCCACAACAGCCTTGGCCACCAGGTAATCCCCCCCACCTGTTGGTGAAATTAGAGTTATTTCAGGTGGCCTCGCTTGTGGAGGACAATCCCACTCAGCTCAGGGCTCAGACAAAGCAGTTACCACGGTAGACCGACCCCCCAAACAGCCCAAGCAGTGGACCGTGCCCGTCACCTTCACGGATGCCGACTGTACAGGCATCCGTTACGCTCATGACGACCCTTTCGTCATTTCTGCCCTCCTCTCCAACTACAAGGTCAGGCGAGTTCTCATTGACAACGGCAGTTCTTCAGACATCATCTTCCTCAACTGCTTTCGCCAGCTCAAAATCGGGGAGGAAAGTCTGTCTCCCCTCTCGAAACCCCTTTGGTCGGTTTCACTGGCGACCGGATGACCTCAATCGGCTCCATCGATCTTCCCACCACAATCGGTGAGTACCCACGGTAGACTACAAAGTTGCTCACTTTCCTTGTTGTCGATAAAAAGCGTCACCATCGCAGAAATTCAGTAATGCGTGTTCATTTTAAAATTGTAATGTGATATCTCATACTTGGTCATGTTGCGGCTTGTAAGTTGTAATTTGGCAGGTAAGGTGAACTAGATTGACTATGACGATGTAATTGAGTGCACAATCATATGATTTTAGTTCTATATGGTTTTAGTTTCCATCTATGAGAGTGCCTCCGTGGTTGCTTTCTAGCATTTTTGCAGATGGGTGACAATAATTAGGGAAGTGATCATCGAGTTACCTGGAGGTGTTTTGCATGTTGGCAATAACAAAGATTCTGTATTAGCATTTGACATGAATGGAAGCATATTGTTCAATATATCCCTTGCAATCCCTGTTTAATCACAATCGAAGTCGAAGTCTGCGTTTGTGTTATTTTTAGGACGGTAGATGATTTTTGACGTGGGTAGACCCATAAAAGCCATAATCCACTATGAACAATCCAAGCCTACCACTTAGGGCTCAATACGTAACCCAACCGATGAGACCCAGCACAGTTGGAAGTCAACAGGACATGAAGGACCAATGATATTCAGACACGTAGCAGGTAAAGGGCAAGCCACATCAGCAGACAAAGATCTGCAAAGTTATTGTCACTGTACATTACCATTAATGCAGCCCCTCACAGCATTTATTAGGACAACACCTCTTTGCTGGGACAGCACGTTCTC